ATGACAGGATGGACCTTCATGCATGGATCTCACAGAGTGCAGCAACGTCCGTCAACCTAACTTCCCCTTCAGAGATTATTTCCCATTTGTGAATTCAAGTTTTTGCCTTCATTCAGTTCTAGGAGCCTCTGTATAAAAAGCCAACCTAGTTTGTTTGTTTGTTTTTTCTTCTTTTAATGATGATTTCAAGCATCAAAGGGTTTCCCAAGTAAGAAGAAATGCAGCAGAAAGACTGTTTTGGTCAAGAAGGATAAATGCAAGAGAATGTTTTTGATTGGAAACACAGACCTGTGTGACTGTCATGCAGGCTCACATTGGCGCCTGAGCTTCTGGTCTGCCTGCTGTCATGCATGTGTGCTTGCTCTAGACCCCCAAATCTGTGGTTCTAAACCATTGCTAGTTGGGGAGCTTGGATGAATGAGCCAAAAAGCCAAGCCATCTCTAACTGGATCCAGGGACCTCCCGGGACTGGATTTGGATTTCTGGCCTATGAGCAGTGCTTTCTCTTCTGGCTTCTAGAAGCCCCCTGCCAGGCAGAGATCAGACACCAATCGCCGTTGGCTCCTTGCTACCATCCCTGATAAAAATCCTGCACGATGTCAGACTCCAGAACCCCCTCTCCTTTCTTCTGGCTGAGAAAACTGTTAGTTATCTGGTTATATCAGAGTGGGAGTGTGTGGCAATGGGAGAACCGATGAGGTTTGGGCTCTAGTTTAAAAATCTGGAAATTGGGAGTTCCCTGGTTGTTCGGTGATTAGGAGTCGGTGCTTTCACTGCCGTGGCCCGGCCCGGCCCGGCCTCAGTCTCTGGCCTGGGAACTAAGATCCCGGCTTGTGGCCAAAAAAAAAAAAGAAAGAAAAGAAAAGAAAAAAAGAGACTGGAACTAGACTGAAGTCAGTGGGCGTTCGGCATGAAAAGAAAGCTGGACCTACCAGCCAAGAGGTCTGCTCTAGTCCTAGTTTGGCTGCTGAGTAACTGCATCCCTCTGTCTTCTCTGGAAGGACTAGACGTGTCCTCAAGCCCCTCTCAGCTTCGTGAGTCCTGTTTCCAAAGGCTCCATCTCAGCACCCCAGGCCCGCGCTCGCCCCCCACTCCTGCCAAGTGCACAGCAACACGGGCACTGTCTTCCTCCACCTCCAAGGGAACTTCTGAGAACTTCAAGCTGACCGGCTGAGGGTCCAGACCAGCTGCCTCCTTGTGGTTCGTGAGGACAGTACACATGGGCCTCTTTGTTTGGTTAAATCTCTGGTGGGGTTTGGCCAAGAAACCTGACCAGGAGGTAGAATGTTCCCAAATGCCAACCAGCAGGGAAATGAACAAAAACAGGGGCTCAAGGCCGTATCTCTGGCGACAGCCATGCTCACGTGGCATTTGTCGGCAGGTGATCAGGGCGACTTGGGATGGAAAGCTAAGCCCTCCCCCCCATTTCCGCCCATCTTTAATTGAGGAGTGGTTTGGAGGGACAGGCTCTGGAATGCATTAGTGGACCAGTCACTGGCCTGGGGCCGGCTTATTGAGTGAACTCAGGCCTCCTTTGACATCTCTTTTCCATCCGTGGAGTGGGGACCATGGTGGTGGAGGGAGGTTACCAGATGGTCCCTAAGGCCCCTGCAGGCTGGAACCTTTGGGGACTCTACCCTGGGTCAGGAAGGGTAGTCAGGGACTCCAGCTGTGCCGGGAGACCCCCCAGCCAGGGTCAGCGTGAGCCAGGACAGGCGTTTGGACGATGTGACAGGATACCCGAGAAGGCGGAATCAGACCAGAATCGGACCTGGGGCTTTGTGGAGGCACAAATAATTAACGAGGAGGGAAGGACCCAGCTGGGGGAGGGAAGGAGGCCTGGAGGGACGGGCCAGGCACCTCCTTGGCCTCATACTCAGACTTGCCAGAGGGTGGCGCTGTAGGACAAGCAGCTGAGGAAACCTGCTGAGAGCCACCCCAGCGTGGCCCGGGAGTACACAGAGGCTGGGGAGACTCCAGGAGAGGGTGCAGGTGTGTTCCCAGGGCATCTGTCACAGCCCCCTCGAGTCCCACAGCGCGCGGTCTGCCTGCTTCTGAGGCAAGAAGCAATTGGATAGACAAAAGAGATTTCCCGGCGCTTTTTCTGGCCAAGTCCATATTCTCCCCCTTGGCCCAATCCTTGGAAAAGCAGGCCTGGAGGGACCACGGAGCAGTGGGGCACCTTGCTCGTTGCCATAGCAGAGTCGCTCACTCTTCTGTGGATAGAACCTAACTTCAGGTCCTTCAGGAAATTCTGTGTCCCCGCCCTTTCCACTGGGGATTTCAGAACAAAAGAGTGGGTTCAGTTCCAAATATCTTGACCTTCTTGCTGCATCTGGACACAAAGGCTTTGAGCATCCTGCCCTCTGCCCTTGATCCCTCACAGAGTTCCCGTTGTCCCTTTGCAGTGTGCTTTATTAATAAGAACAAAATAATAATTCGCATTCGTCTATTGCTTAAAAGTGCCAGATCCTGTGCTAATCACATTATACACATTCTTTTTTTTATATAAATTTATTTAATTATTATTATTTTTTATTTTTGGGCTGCATTGGGTCTTCGTTGCTGTGCGGGCTCTCTCTAGTTGCGGCGAGCGGGGGCCGCTCCTCGTTGCTGTGCGCAGGCCTCTCATCGCGGTGGCTTCTTCCGCTGCGGAGCACGGGCTCTAGGTGTGCGGGCCTCAGTAGTTGTGGTGCACGGGCTCTACAGCGCAGGCCCAGTAGTTGTGGCGCACGGGCCTAGTTGCTCCGCGGCATGTTGGATCCTCCCAGACCAGGGCTCGAACCCGCGTCCCCTGCACTGGCAGATGGACTCTCAACCACTGTGCCACCAGGGAAGCCCTATACACATTCTTGAATGTAATCATTATCTAATTTCACTTGATGAAAACTCCTGTGGTGTTTCAGGGCCCTCTTTCACAGATGAGGCACAGAGTGGTTAGGACACTTTCTTGGGGTCACACAGAAATTACTTAGTGGAGCTGGGTTTCCACTGCCCTTGAATGGCTGCCTGCTCAGTGGCCAGGCCCCTCAGGCTCGGCCCTGCTCCCTCACCGGGGTCGCTCCCCCCGGGGGTCAGAAGGCTGCAGGGTGGCTTTAACAAAGACCAGTAGGGATGCTTGTCTGGTTCGTAGGGTGGGATGGGAATTTTAGGCCCTTAGGATGGGGTGGGGTGGGGGGGGTCTGTCAAGGCCCCCCACTGAGCCAGATTCCTGAGGGGGTTGGTAATGTGTGTGGCATTTTTATGGAATTAGCTTCTAAGGAGCTGCAGTGAGTGTGTGTGTTGGGAGTGGGTAGGCTGCTCAAGAAACTCACTCGGATCTGTAGTCACCAGACTCGGTGTGTCTCCCGGCCTAGGCTGATGGATGGTCCCCGCCAGGTACTCAGCCTGTGGCTCAGGAGCCACAGCAGATGTTCGGGCAGCGGGTCATTCCACAGGCCCTTAGGTCTGGGCCCTGGGCCCTTTAGACCCCTGATCCCCTACCACTTTCCTGGTAGAAGAGGAGACAGGCAATAAACAAGGGCTCATTGCTTTGCCGAGAATAAAACAGGCTGGTGTGGGTTTAACTGAGGGTTACTCCAGGGAAGGCCCTTTGACTGGGGGACTTGTTCATATCTTTTTCTTTTTCGGCCACACCGCACGGCTTGCGGGGTCTCATTTCCCCGACCAGGGATTGAACCCAGGCCATGGCAGTGAAAGCCTGGAATCCTAACCACTAGGCCACCAGGGAACTCCCTGAGTGGGCGACTTGGCTTCTGAGCGAAGATCTAAATGACAAGAAGGGGTGGGCTGGTGACAGGTTGTGGAGAAGGGATTGTGGGCAGAAGCAGGAAGGTGGTTCAGGAACCTACGGCAGTTCTCCAGAGAGGTGATGGGGGCTCGGAGAGACGGGATGAATCAGGGTGTTTTTGGAAGTAACATCAATGGGCTTGTTGATGGATTGGATGAGAGCGTGAAGGAAACAGGGTCGTGAAGGTTTTCGTCTTTGGCATCTGGGTGGTCTCAAGCATGAGATGGGAAAAATGGAGGGAGAAGCGAGTTTGGCAGAAAAAAATCCAGAGTTATTCTGTCTTGGCTGTGTTGGATTGAGATGAATGCCAGATGCTTGAGTGGAGACATCCGGGGAGCAGCTGGATAAATGAGTGTGGCATTCTAGGGAGAGACGTGGGTTGAAGGTCAGCGATGGACTTTGCACAGGTGCTATCGAGATGTGTTGGAGGTCATCTCCCTTAAAGAGTCTGAGGTTTGTTCTCACACTGTTCATAGGTTTACTAGCTTTCAAATAAAGGCACAGGAGGAAGATGACAAATAGCACTTTTAATTTAAAATAGATCAGTATCTAATTTGTGGGGAGAAGCCAAAGGACCTGCAGAAAGATTGAGGTGCAAAGTGCCCCAGCCTGGGTGCTTTCAGCCCCGGAAGTCTCTCTCTTTCGGGAGGGGGCTGGGTGACCTTCCAAGGTCAGTGCCTGTGGAGGTGAGGGCCGCTCTGAGTAAGGAACGTGGGCTCTTCCTGCCCTCAAAGGTCCCAGAGAGATGGTATTGCCATGGAGAGATATCAGGAATCCCCAAAGGAGCAATTAAAACTCATGTTTGGAATATAAAATGAGGGCTTTCAAAGCATGGTACTGTCACACTTTCTGCAGCAAATACATGGGTTGTTCTTAACACTTGAGGGCAGAGCCTCAGAATCGCCCCTTAGTCTGGAGTCTAAAATCTGCCTTGGATTTTGGGTTTCTCTTATCAGGTGAGGGCTTGAGAAGAGAGGGTGGGGGGTCTGCAGGAGGAGGGCGGTCCCTAAGTGGAGGGTTACGGGGGCTTAAGGGAAGCGGGTGTGGCTAACTCTGAAGAGGGGGTTCTTAACCAAAAACGATCAAACTAAGACCTGAGTCTGAGGTCCTGGCCAAGGCAGAGCCTGCAGAACAATGGGGGACTGTCTTATGTTAGTTGGGGCAAGAAAGGTGAGTCCTTCAGAGAATTTTCTACTGTGTCAAGAAGGCTTTAGGGGTGGGTGTAGTTGCCCATCCGCAGGGTCCCCTGGCGCACGGCACACTCTTCCCGGTGGGCTTTGAAGGCTCTCTGGCGATGGGCCTCGGTGGGGAAGGTATCGAGATGGGGGCCCACCTGTGGACAGAGGGAGAGCGGGTCAGAGGGCATGAGTGCTCGGGGTGCTCGGCCTGGGGGCTCCCCTTCCTTCCCTGGCCCGCCCCCTACTTCCATCTTAGAGTAACAATAAAAATCGCTGTCAGAGGGAAAGAAGTGAAGGAAAAGTGCTGTCCTGGTGCTGCGGGGTAAAGTGAGTGGTGACATGGGACAGGGGTGCGAGAGCAGGGCTGCCGGGTGCCCTTGTTTTTCCTTTTGTCCAGCTCGTTGCCGGGACGACGTGTACATGATAAATATCACCTGCCGAGGACTGGGGTCACCCGTGCAGTGGGACCTGACAGCCAGCATCATCCTTCACGTGCTGATTCTCCACCATTAAAACCCCAAACAAGCCGCCCTCTCCAAGGGGGGCTTCCTGGTACGGTTGGCGCTCCGTCACCGCAGGACCATCTGAGGCCACCCCGCACTCCAGGGGCCAGCACTCAGTTGCGCCAGAACCAGAGCCAGATCCAAGGAGTGCGGGGCCTCTGTCGTTAAAATTTTATGCAATCAGTATTTTGGCCTGCCCTTGCCTCTCAAGAAATGGTGGTGAGTGGAAACCTCTCCTGTCTCCTGGGTCTGTTACACCACCTCCAAATGCCAGAGAATTCCCGTAAGATGGCATTTCTCTTTTAGGATAACTAAGGGAGGCACGGGGTAGAAAGGGTTCAGCCTTGCTTGTTTATTTATGCATCTGTTCATTCATTCATTCACTCACTCGTTCAGGCCACACGTATTAACTGAGCACAGCTCTGTGCCAGGCACTGGGGTACCGCAATGAATGCGAGGGACTCACTCTTCCCGGGGGAGGGGGAGCAGACGTGGGCAGCTGTTACACAGCTGTTTCATGAGAATCAGTGCAGTGATGGGGGCGTCAGTAGCACAGGTAGGTGGGTTTAACCCTCCCCGGAGTCAGGGGCCTCTCCGGGGAACAAGGGGAGGCTCGTAGGATGAGCAGGGCTTTCCCAGGCTAAAGGGGCCACACGCGTGCTAGCCTTGGGGCGCCCCGCAGCTCAAGCCCACAAGGCGACATGGTGGCCCAGATGAGGGTCCGCAGGAGCAGCTGAAGGCTCTGCTTCAAGATAAGGCAGGACCCATGGCCAGGACGGCCACAGGCTCTGGTGCAGGACCAGGCCGGGGGTGCCCTCACCACCACGGGCGACGGGGTTAGCTGAGACCACAGAGCTGCGGGCAGCCTTCCCGTGACGAAAGGTGAGAGAAAAGAAAAACTGGGAGAGGATAAGGTATTAAAAGGAAGCAGAGGGAAGGCCAAGAGGAACTTGTAGGGAACGTCTCTGTGCTCGGCCTCCCGCACTCTGGCCCCCATGGGGGGAGTACAGGGGCCTGGAGGGAGGTCATGACCCTTAACTAGAGCCTGTGGCCCAAAGTGGTTTCCTGACAGCAGAAAACGCAGGTGCAGAGCTGACGTGGCCTCCTGGATCCTGCATCTGCTGCCTCCCTCCAAACCCCATCAGACCCCCACCCCAGTCCAAGGTCTGGGCCACGGCTTAGGGTCAGTGAGACCCAAACCTCAGGTCCAGGGGGCCACGCTTGCCATCAGGGAAGAGCAGGCACATCAGGTCACAGGAGGGCACAACAGAATCCAACTTGACCACGTTCATTTCACAGGTGAGGAAACTGAGGCCCAGAGCAGAGTTTGGTCCAGGGTTGGTCCCAGAGGGAATCAGTGGCAGAGAAAATCTGCTTTAGCACCCACTCCCCACTCACTAACTCCTGGGCACTAAGTTCTAGATTCCTTCTGGAATATTCTGCCCTGGCTGCCACTCATGCTGTGTCAGGGGAGTGGGGGGGACTCCCTGCACCTCCCTACCTCACTCATGGGGTGAAAAGGGGGTTGAGGGCTGCAAATGCTTATTAGAAACCCATAAAAAAAAATCAAATGGTGATAAGTAGATTGGGTTAGTTATTCTGGGACATAAAACTGCATCCTTCACTCTCTGGAGGGTGTGGAGACTCTGGAGACCCTGCAGAAAGCCAGGACCCTCTCCTCTGGGAAAATAAGTACCCACAAGTCCTAATGTACAGACAGCGCAGGAGATTCATGGACCCTTTGCAAGTGTGGCGGCATTTCTGGGCACCATCCCAGCTCCGGCCTCAGGTTTCGGGTTTCCGGGATATACGTCAGGATCATCTGGGGCTCTTGTCACCCGGGCAGGGCCTGAGCCCAATCCCAAAGCTCTGAGTCCACCCGGGAAGGCCCTTCCTACAGTCACCGAAGCCCCACCCAGACCCAGGCTCAATGCCTGGTGTCAGCTCATTTCAATCAATCATACCACGATCTTGTTCTCAGCTCACTCTCCAGTTTCAGAAAAATTGCCAAGTGGCCTCACAGAAGCTACTGAGAAGAGAGAAGTTCCAATACACTGCGCAGGAGGAAAGTAGCCATAAACAAAAGGCCTTTTCCAAGGTACACCTTGTATCCCCTCCAGCAAGGGGTGGGAAGTTTTACACAGTGACATGATTTTCCTGACACCCATGCTTCCCAGAAGGCAGATAGAGATGCTCAGTAAGGCCCTCTGGGTACCCCGGCTGATTTGGATGCCCAGCCGCCTGGGCCTCTTAGACCTCCATGGCCATCTGTAGCATTCAGAGTGGCAATAGTTCTGTCCCTAGGGCCCGGCCACCAGTCGTTCTTAACAGGGAAGCACAGCTCTGCAAGACCACAGCTCTGCAGCTCTACACGTCCCTCTGTGGCTCTTGCAAAGGGTTGAATGGTGAGCTCCCCCCAAAAGCTACAACCACATTCTAACCCCGGAACCTGTGAATGTGACCTTATTTGTAAAAAGGGTCTCTGTAGATGTAATTAAGGGTCTTGTGATGAGAATATCCGGAATATTCAGTTGGGCTCTAAATCCATTGACAAGCGTCCTTGTAAGAGACAGAAGACACAGACAGAGGAGAAGTCCACCTGAAGACAGAGCCGTAGGTTGGAGTGATGCAGCCAGAGCTTGGGAACGCCAGGAGCCACCAGTAGCTGGAAAAGGCAAGAAAGCCTTCTGCCCTACCTAGAAGCTTCAGTGGCAGTGTGCCCCTGCTGACACCTGGATTTTGGAGTTCTGGCCTCCAGAGCTGTTGGAGAATAAATTTCTATTCTTTAAGCCACTATGTGTTTGGTAGTTTGTTATGGCAGCCTTGGGAAACAAATGTAGCCCTCAAGCCATTCCCTGAGTAGTTCAGCATGCAGGAATG